TCTGGATAAGGGTCATGATTAATGACCAAACTCACCAAGTGTATAAAAGAAAGGTGAAAAATAAACTTGGGCACTCGGTCTCTGGGAGCCCTCCCGACTCTATCTCTTTGTCTTTATTTTTCTTCATCCTCACTCCCCCATTCAGGTACTGTTCTACAAGTGACGACGGGCTCCGTCACGGGTGGGGCCCGAACAGGAACCTGAATACGCGGGATCAAGTGAAGGACACCGTGGATTGTGAGCTCGGATAAGTAAATCAAGGGCGGTGAATACATTCGTGAGTAACAAGATGAGAATTGGTAATAGTCGACTGCTTTTTGTACATATGCTTAAAAATATGCTTCGGTCTCATGGAGCAAAGGTAGGGCATCAACAATTATGTAACTTTTTAGAATTTGTAGAGAAAGTTTGTCCTTGGTTCCCTGAAGAAGGCACAGTAGATTTAGAAGTATAGAATAAGGTGGGAAAGCAACTTCAGGACTATTACGATGGTCATGGACCCACTAAAGTCCCTATAGATGCTTTTAGTTTATGGGCTTTAATTAGAGATAGATTGGACCCTTGGCATGAGAGAGAGAGGGTTGAAGGACCCTCCTCAAGTCCTTCCTCGGAGGAGCCTGGCAAGGCTGATGTTCCCAAGCTTGTCCCTCTGCCTCCTATAGAAAGTGAAACTAAGCCATCTGCTCCGCCAGTATATGCTGATGCGAAGCCTACATTAAGGAAGGGTCTTCTTCCAGATGAGGGTCCTTTAGATTCGGGAGATGCTGATGATTTGGAAGAAGAGGCTGCTAGATATAACAATGAGGACTGGCCCTCCCTCCCTATCGTAGCCATGGCCAGGAAAACTGGAAAATCCAGACAGCCAGCAAAGAGGACGTGACCGAAAAGATTACTAGGTTAGAAAAGACATTGGAGTTTCTTTGCCAGCAGTGGCAGACAGGCTTAAAGGTGGAAGAGGAGGCCCAGAAGGCTCAGGGCGAGGGAGGAATAGTTCCTAGTATAATTGCTGGTCTTGATCCCCCGCTGGTTGCAGGTCCAAGATTAATAAAAAAAAAATTTGACCCTCTTATAGCCATGATCAAACATCCCCCAGGACCCAGACCTTTGTCTATCAACTCTCGGTCTCTGTCGCCATTACAAGCTACCCTGGAACATGCGGTTGACAGAGGGAAAGATACCCAGGGCTAATAATAATTATAGATTATGGTAAAAAATTTAAAAAAGGGGCAACAACTTCAAAATGCTCTTTTTATATTTACAGGTATAAAAGCGCTTTTGTTCCTTCTGATTCTAATCTCAAGAGATCTCTGTTAATTGACTATTCCAAAGTTTTTGTCCAGTCATACAATTATAAATCTAATAATCATAAAGAGGATATTATAATTCAATTGGGCCAAATATATTTGAGTGCACTGTAATTTTATAAATTGTCTTATATGTTTGTCTGTTGTCTGTTTGTACAGTTGAGCTCAATTTTTTTTCCTTTTTCTTCTTTTTCTCTTTTCCTTCCCGACTCTAAAAAAAAAAAAAAAAAAAAGATATTCACCTATTGTTAAATTGGCTTACAGATAAATGTTATTAAATTAAAGACATGCCCTCCTTCCCAGGTTGCTAATTGGTCAAAGTTTCACTGAGATTTATTTTATAAAACTAGTGTGTATTGTCACCTACATACAATAATCATATTACAATAAACAGTTGTAAAATAAAAAGATACATATATTCATATTATTTGTTCGTCAAAGTAAATAGAGACTATGGGGACTCCCTTTGATGAATAAAGAAGTGGCCACCCAGAAAATAATTATTCTGGTCTTAATTCACTAAAGGGACCCCCCTAGTAAATTTCATAATCTTATGGGAGACAGACCACAATAAACATTGTCTCAATATGTTATTATAAATTGGTTATATTGATTATCCTTACAGTTTAAATTCTAAATATGTTACTGATGGGTCTTCCAATGGCATTGCAGCTTATGTTATTCAGGGAAAGCCACAGATTGCTCATACAGCCCCCGCCTCCGCTCAGATTGTTGAGTTTCATGCCGTTGCTACGATGTTTGAGCTCATGTCCCATTATTCTTTCAATTTGTATACAGACAGTCATTATATTGTTAAAGCTTTACAGGTGCTTGAAACAGTTGCTTATATTGATATTGCCAATAATCAGATACAGGAACTCTTTGCTCAGATACAGCGGTGCATACATGCCCAGATCTGTCCTTGTTATGTAGGTCATATTAGGGCTCATTCTGGGCTCCCCGGACCCCTGGCAAAAGGAAATGATCTTGCGGATCAGGCTACATGGCTGGTAGCTTTCAGCCAATTAGAATTAGCTCAACAGTCTCACGCCCTACATCATCAAAGTAGCCAAAGCTTAAGAAAACAATTCCATATACCTCGAGAAGCCCCTCGACAAATAGTTAAACAATGTTCTGCCTGTCCTACACATCATTCTGTCCCTCATTATGGGGTAAATCCCCGCGGCCTTAAACCTAATCAGCTATGGCAAATGGATGTTACCCATATTGCTGAATTTGGAAAACAGAAGTACATGTAGGTATTCATACCTTTTCAGGATTTATTGTGGCCACTGCACAAACTGGAGAAGCTACGAAACATGTAATAGCCCATTGCTTAAAATGCTTTGCCACAGTTGGAGTCCCTGTCATTCTTAAAACTGACAATGGCACAGGATATACTAGTAAAGCTTTTCAAATCTTTTGCAGACAGATGTATATTGCCCATAAAACAGGTATTCCTTATAACCCACAAGGCCAAGGGATTGTGGAAAGAGCCCATGGTGCTCTAAAAAATCAATTGCAAAAAATAAAAAAGGGGGAGTTATACCCTTTATCCCCACAAAATTATTTACAACATGCTCTCTTCATCTTGAACTTTTTGATTGTGGATGCTCATGGATTGACCGCAGCAGAACGGCTGTGGCATCCTAAAACTAAATCATCATATGCTCAAGTGAGGTGGAAAGATCCCCTCATGGGTGTATGGAATGGCCCCGACCCGGTATTAATATGGGGACGAGGGCATGTTTGTGTTTTTCCACAGGACGCTGAAGGTGCCAGGTGGTTGCCTGAAAGATTGGTCTGTTTTGCGGGGAATTGTCCTGCCCCTCAGGATGATTCTGACAACTGTCCTGCTCATGAATCTAATGATGATGCTTAATGGGAAGTTTATTGGACTTATGTACCTGATCCACCTGCGGCGGCCCCTGACAAGAAAGAGGTTCGATCATTCAACTATACGGGATCACTGGAGTCCATCTACATCTACCTGTGGGTATGGAGACCACTGGAATGCTCCAATAAGACTATTCCATAAAAGAGATGTGCGGCAGATGCCCCTGTGAGATATAATATTACTGGACTTGATACTTATGTTTTGGACTGGTCTAAATCTCGGGATTATGCCTCTACCCAGATGTATAATTCTCTCCTAGTCCCCTATAGTTAAGTGAAACAGCACTCTCTATAGGGTTATGGTGGAGTGACAAAGGATATGCTCAAACATATATTTGGAAATTGGCTGCAGCCTTACTTTAGGCTAAGGCCCAATCTGAAAATTCTTATCATCCCAAAAGAAATGTCATTGCATGTGTTATGCACTCTTATGTATTGCTTGTAGAAAATATTAGTCTTCAGATAGGTAATGATTATTATGATGTAATTTGCTTTAATTGTCAAATAAGTAATTGTGTCACCTGGACAGAAAATCAGGTGATGGTTTTGCAAATGTGTCCTTAGATTTAATACAGCTTCATAAGGATATTATAGATCTCCAAAATGCAGAACCCCTAAAATTTGATGCAGCCCAGGCTGCACAGGATTTTATTGAACAAATTAGGAAAGTTCTGCCATCTACATCTGCATTTACACAGTAACTCATTCCTATAGTAATCATTGGAGGAGGGCTACTTCTTGGATGCATGATCCTTCCAGTGCTACTACAGATGTTTATGCATTCTTTGATGAGGATGGCTGGAAGTATTCATGGTCCACAATTACATGCTACACTGCCTAAGCCTAAGGTGTTATCCCCTGCAGAGGCTGGTAGTCAATGACGGGTAAGAGGAGTACAGGAAATCACCAACCTAAGAGAGAGCAAGAGTACTGTGACGCTCCTGACTCGATGACGGGTAAGGGATTTCTTTATATTCCTCGCCTAAGACAGGCACAGTCTATCTGCGTGATCAAGGGACCTTGATCATAATATATAAAACAGGGGGAGATGTGGAGAGCAGTGTTAGCCATAGAGGCTCCATATTAAATCTTACCCTCCATTGCATAGAGCAAGGAGACTGTGTTATGAGGAACCGCGTCCTTGCCAACCTAAATGTTTACCTTCAGAAATTGTCCTGGAAACATGATGAACGTTCTGTAACCCCGAGAAACAAAGAAGCCCATGAGGGTGGGGAATTTCCAAAGAACTAGAGAACAGGGAAGTAGGTGTCTCTGGATAAGGGTCATGATTAACGACCAAACTCATCTACTGTATAAGAGAGGAGAAAAACTTGGGAGCTCGGTCTCTGGGAGCCCTTCTATCTCTTTGTCTTTATTTTTCTTCATCCTCACTCCCCTATTCAGGTACTATTCGACAAGTGACGGTGGGCTCCATCAGAGCTAAAATAAAAATAGATCAAAGATCTAAATATTAAAACAGAAACACTAAATCTTCTAGGAGAGAGAATAAGTGGAAGTCTTGAAGACCTAGGTATAGGCAAAGACTTTGTGAAAAATCCTGAGATACACAGGAAATATTACAAAGAATCAACAACTAGGACCATATCAGATTACAAAGCTTTTGCACAACAAGAGAAACCACCAATGGAGTGAAGAGACAAACCATAATGTAGAAAAAATTCTTACCAGGTATTCCTCAGGCAAAAGACTAACGTCTAGTATATATACAGAACTCAAAATAATCAGACCCCCTTAAATTTAAAGACCCAATCCAAAAATGAGCACCTGAAATCAACAGACACTTTTCAGGTGAAGATGTACAAACAGAAACAAATTATGAAAAATGCTCAGCATCAATGGTCATTTGAGAAATAAGATTCTATGTCAGTCTAGAAAGAATGTCTATCAGGAAATCAACAACTAACTAAATGCTGTTGAGGCTGTGCCAAAAAAGAAACCCTTCTTCATTGCTGATGGGAGTGTATTCTGATACAACACTATGGAAATCAGTATGGCGATTCTTCAAAAAATTAAAAAGAGAAGTCCCATTTGACTCTGCTGTTCCCTTTCTAGGTATCTTCCTGAAATAATTAAAAGCATCATACCACAGTGAAGCATGCATACCCATGTTTATAGCAGCACAACTTATAACAGCTAAATCTTAGAAACAGCCCAAATGCCCAACAACAGATGAATGGATGGAGAAACTGTGGCATTTGTATACAATGGAGTACTACACTGCCATAAAGAAGGATAAACTTGAGTCATTTGTAGGAAAATGGATGCACCTTTAGACCATAATCTTAAGTGAAATAAATCAGATGCAAAAGTTTAAATATCATACTGTGTGTCTTATGTAAGAAACCCAAAAGGTAAATAAAGAGCATAAAGAGCATAATGATGGATAAATATTTGGAAGTAGGAAGAACATGTTCAAATGGGAAGGGGAATAAAAGAGGGGAAGAAGGGAAGGGGGCGAGAAGGAAAAAATGGTAACAAAGCTTTTGTGAATAGGGGAAGAGAGCTTGAAGGGATGGGAGGGGAATGGGAAAAAAAGAAAAATCAGGATATATTATGTATAGGTGCAAATTCCTTATGATTGTGATCAATGTGTATGACAAATATGTACTAATAAAAAATGTTTACAAAGGAGTTAAAAATGGGAGAGTCTCAATAATTCTAGTGAGATTTAGATGAGGCAAGGATAGTGCTAGTTGACAGAATTAGTGAATTTAAGAGGAGGAAATGAGAATGGAAGGAGTCAGTTGTTCCTGGAAGTAACATTTGGGATAAGGTGAGATTTGATAACATTGCCAAGGGAGAAAAGGTATAGGAAAAAGAGTAGAGGTATGAGGTCACGCATTTGTGGAGCATTTCCATTTAGTATAGTAGCAGGAAGACACAGGAAAGTCTAAGATGGAGCAGTTAGGACAAAAAAACAGGAGTGTTTAGTAACACAGATAATAGAGGAAGAGAGTTTTTAGGCAGACGGTCAATTTTGGAAATATACCAGAGAAATGTAGTAGAAGATAACTAATAAGAGATAATTTGACTTTATAGTGGCAAATCGTCATGAGCTTTCTGGAAAATGGTTTCAGAATAGAGATGTGGGTGGAAATCAGATTGTAGGGAAGTTTGATGAATGGAAATTGAGAGGATAGATAGGCCAATCATGATGAAATGATAACAGTGTATGGTAAAGCAAAGTTTTTAGAAGGGGAAAAGACTGGTTATAGACCAAGAGGAATGTTTCAATAGAGTAGGAAAAACACAGAAGTTATGACTGATGGACCAGAATACTCAGTGATGTAGGCAAGGATGGAATCAAGTGGATAAGTGGAAGGAAAAACCATGGAAAAGAGAATTTATCTTAGCCTAAGATTGAAGGAAAGAGTTTGTGATGTGAATGAGATTTCATATAGAGGAAGAATGTTGGAGAAACTTGTATCTAAATGTCCAATCTTCTTAGGAAGTCAGTGGTGAGATCAGTTTCGCTGACATAAATGACCACTTTATTCACTAGTAGGATATGTGTGGACCTTACTCCCTCTTATTTAGTAGCCAGAATGAAAATTTATTTTTGAAATATGTATTTTTCTTATTTTTAAGGATATTTCTTTTCTGTATGATGTTAAATATGTAAAAGAAGAGACTAGAGAGAATACATTTTGTCCCCCACATTCGGACCATGCATTACAATCCAAAGATGATCACGAGAAACATGATGGTGTCCTCGTGCCTCACAAGGTAAAACATTTGATAAACTTCTCTCCCTCTCTCTACTCTTTAAATAAGTTCCCCCAAAATATATTGCTTACTGTCTTATTTCCTTAAAAAGCTATTTAGTGGGTAAAGATCAAAAATATCTTAAGCTGTTTTCCAAACCAGAGTTGCCACTTTAGAAAATACAATGGGAAGACTAGATTTCTCCTTCCAGAAATCCACATACAAAGTTGTAGATTTCTTATTCATGGTATGATGCTAAGCTGAATTTTAGTTTTCCTACTGTTAAAAAAAATGAATTTATTTTTGTTTTGTTTTGGTTTTTGTGATAAGATCTTGCTATGTAGTTCAGGTTGGCCTTGAACTCACTATATAGCCCAGGCTGACCTTGAACTCAAAGTGATCCTGCTGCCTCAGCCTCTCCTGCGTGCTGGGATTATAGGCATGTGGCACCATGCTTGCCCTAATGATGAATTTCTGAATACACTGAGATCTGTATATCTGAGAGGTCCTCATCTGCATATCCAACCACCCACAAATGTGAAATATTTTTCAAAAATTGCATCTGTTGTGAACCTGTATAGAGATTTTCTTATCATTATTTCCTCAATAATTCAGTATCACAATTATTTATATAACATTTATAATATTATAAATAATCTAATGATTTAAATAAATGAGAGGATGTGTATAGGTTATATGCAAATACTGCATCATTTTATAGAGTAGACTTGACATCTGCAGATTTTTGGTATGTGTACGGATTCCTGGAACCAGCCTTTGTCAGATATTGAGGGGCTATTACATTAGAGCTAAACTTGTTCTTAAATTCATGCTTACTTTTAAAAATGTATGCTCTGCTTAAAGGTTTGTTCCTGTTGTTTGCTATCATGTACATTACTAAAACACTGTTATTTCTGTAATCAAGATCTCTCAACTTAATAAATAATATCCCTTTTGTGTATAGGAAAAGAATAAGCTGAACTATTCTTATTCACAGGTGACATGATCCTATACATAGAAGACCCAAAAAAATTCCACCAGAAAGCCCCTAGAACTAATAAACAAATTCAGCAAAGTAGCAGGATACAAAATCAGTACACAAAATTCAATAGCATTTCAATACACAAACAATGAATATACTGAGAAATAAATCAAGAAAATAATACCTTCATATTAGCTTCAAAAATATTAGTATTAACCTAACCAAGGAAATGAAAGACCTCTATAATGAAAATTATAGTACTCTGTAAAAGGAGATTGAATAAAACATCAGAAAATACAAAGACATTCTTTGTTCCAGGATAGACAGAACTAATATTGTCAAAGTGGCCATATATCAAAACTAATTTATACATTTAATGTAAATCCAATCAAAATACCAACATCATTCCACACAGAACTAGAAAAACAATCCTATAATTCATATGGAACAGGAAGAGACCCAGAACAGCAAAAACAATCCTAGGGAGGAAGAACAAAGCATCAGGCATTACAATCCTGGATCTCAAGCTGTATTACAAAGCTATGGTGATAAAAACATGATGGTACAGCACAAAACTAGATATGTGTTTCAGAGGAACAGAATAGAGGATGCAGAACCAATTCCAGGCACACTCAGACATCTGATCTTTGACAAGGGGAGAAAGACAGAGGCTGAAGAACATAGGGCTTCTTCAACAAATAGTGCTGGAAAAACTGGTTGTCCATATCCAGAAAATTGAATCTAGGCCCATCTCTTTTTTAAATTTAATTTTATTGGTACATTTTCGGTATACAATGTAATGACATCCATCATTGGAAATTTGCACCTTTACATAATCTCTCTTGGTTCTTATTTTTCCCCCTTCCCCTGCCCTCCCTTTAACCCCTCTACCCCTCCCTATTTACAAAGACTTTGTTCCCATCTTTTCATTTTCTCATATTAATTCCATTTCCTTCTTTCCTTTCCCCTACCCCTCTCACTTCCTCTTCCCCTTTGCCCCTTTTCTTCCTATTTAACATTGT